CAGCTTCTGAGCCGCACGTTCAAGCACCTTCTCTTCAATGGCCATCTCGGTGACGAATCGGAAGACGTAGACCTGCTTGGTCTGGCCAATACGATGGGCACGGTCCATGGCTTGCAGATCGGCCTGCGGGTTCCAGTCACTGTCGAAGAGGACGACGATATCAGCAGACGTCAAGTTGATACCCAGTCCACCAGCACGAGTAGTCAGGAGGAACAGGAACTTCTCCGACCCTTCCTTATTGTAGTCGTCGATAGCCTGGATACGGTCCTCGTGGGCGGTCGAACCGTCGATACGGCAGTACTTGTAATCGCGCATGACTGAGTAGTCCTCCATGATGTCTAGCACACGACTCATCTGCGAGAAGATGAGCACTCGGCTGCCCTGAGCCTTCATACGTTTCAGCAGCTTGTCCAGCATGACCATTTTCGCAGCGTTGGTGACGAGATGTTCATCGGTAGTGTATGGCGGGCCAGGCTCGGCGCCTTCGAAAAGGTACGGGTGGTTGCAGCACTTTCGCAGCTGCATGACGATGTTGAGCAGACGGGTCTTAGACTCCTTGTTGCCGGCACCGCCATTAACCGCGTCGATGTCCTTTTCGAGAATCTTCTTGTACCACTGAACCTGCATGTCGGACATGCCAACGTACAGGTTGATCTCCTTCTTCGGTAGTAGTGACTTTTCGACATCGGCCTTGACACGTCGGAGCAAGAAGGGTCGAAGGACCTTGTGGAGTTGTTGGACGACGGCGTCCGAGTCGGCGTTCTGGGATGTGAACCAGTCGTCGAAAGCGGCGGAGTCTCCGAAGACGTCGGGAAGGAGGAAGTTGAGCAGGGCCCAGAGCTCGTGGAGGTTGTTCTGGAGAGGGGTACCTGTGATTAGCAGGCGGCTTCGAGAGTTGAAGACGCGGACCATCTGGGCGAGCGATGATTCCTCGTTCTTGATACGGTGGGCTTCGTCAATGATGATGTATTCCCACGCGAACTTCTTCAGATGTGATTTCTCACGCAGAATCATCTCGTAGGAGGTGATGCAGACATCGAAGCCATCGGGCACCAGGCGCTCCTTGATGAGGTCGGCACGGTCATCCTTGTTACCCTGGAGGACCAGGACGTTGACGTCGGGGCACCACTTGGCGAACTCGCGCTTCCAGTTGTCGAGTGTCGACTTGGGGACTGCGACCAGGTGAGGACCGTGAATGCCGGCAATGTAGCGGAGGTAGCCGATGAAGGAGATGGTCTGTAGCGTCTTTCCGAGACCCATCTCGTCGGCGAGGATGCCAGAGATACCGTTCTCATGTAGTGAGATGAGCCAGTTGAGACCGGCAACCTGGTAGTCGCGCATGGTGCCGCCCTTAATGAAGCCCGGTGATTCCCTAAAGACCGTCTCGTTGTGTCCGCCATGCTTCTCCTCGCGCACCAGCTCGGCGTCCTCCTCCTGCTCGGTCTTTCGGCGACGCTCCGCAGCGGCACCTCCTTTCCGCACCTTGCTTGCCTTTGATTTCTTGGTCTCTTCGGCATCCTGGCGGTCGATCTCGGCGAGAATCTCCTTGATGCGCGGGTTGGGGTTCGTGTCGATGAAGTGGCGAAACAGATCCGTCAGACCAAGGAGGTATCGAAAGCGGCGGATGGTGTCGTCTTCCTGTGAGAGGAGCCAAGTTAGTGATGTCTCGGGATGTAATGCGCAGTGAAGTCGCGTACCTTGGACGCCCTCAGGCCCTCAGCCTTCTTGCCATACATGCTTTTCCGCATGTTCATCTCTTCGGCGCGTTTTCTTCGGCCGTCGACTGGCGCGTCACCGGCGACGCTGTTTGCTGTGGTGTTGGGGTTGGTATCCGAGTCCTGTGCGCGTGTCAGTTGTTGGACCGGGTGAGTGTGGCGCGGTGTCGGAGTCATCGTACTGTGTAGTCTGGAGTATCGACATTGTACTGCGTCTGGAATGTTAGCCAATGTCTTCTCGATGTCGCGCCTTCCTCCCGCTTGACATGTGAGTGTCGCGGCGAGGAAGGCGCAAACGGGGGTTGCGCTTACGCCAAACTTCTTGAAGCCGTTCATTGTGTCGTCCGGCTGGTCCTGCATCTCGACATCGGAATGCGCCGACGCCTCATCTGAGGATGGCTCCTCCTTCTTCGCAGCGCTCTTCCGCGGCATGTTGCCTGTTTGGGCTGTTCGCCGCGTGTAGTTGTGTCGGCGTCAAGGTCGCAATGGCGCAGTGAATGGTAGTACGTCTGTCAATGTTTCGGGGTGTTAAGTGTGATGACGTGGACGCGTTGGGACGTGTTCGTGGCGGCAGAGGTTTGCGCGATGTGTGTGAGGATGGCTTGAGAATAACTGTGGACGACCCTTGGCGCGTCAGGTCGGCGGCGCGCTATCCTCGTTGCGGTCGCGCGCACTACCCCATGCCTGCATCTCTAAGCCCACCAACTTCCATTCGCTCAGCGATTTGACATCTACGCGTTCCCGACTACGAACATCAATCCATCTGAAACATGATGCCACGGGAGGGAAGAATAGAGATGGACGCGATTTGCGACGCGATGTCGAACATGACGTCAGACAATTGTATCCATCACCGGTGCCATATGCGATCATTTCAGGAGTGCTATGTTGCCTGTTGGCATAACTTGCTTGAGCCATAGCATACTGGAGCTACAACACGACATGTTATTCCATTGTTTCGACGACTTTTTCTAGCCTCTGATCCTACATTTGGACTGCTCGCCAAAGTTTCCTCTTAGGATCACGGTTATCTGCTGAACTGGTTCTTCATCGTTAAGCTTTCGAGTTGAGTAGGCTACCTCCGGCCATAGAATGAGTCATAGCCGATATGAAGCATCTATCAAAAGCCCTAGGTCTATGATATTCATCGGCATCCCATCGGCATCGTCGGCATTATTGATCAACCGTATTGCAAGATTACCAAGGTATTGGGAGCCGTAGAGTGGGACAATAACGCATCGTAAGTCGGCAACATGAGAAGCGAAAGACTGCAGCAACTCTCGAGATTGTTAAGCATGCAGTGTCAGTCGGCGTTACTTCTCCACCACTGACGTCACTGTACCCAAGACAATCGTTGCATAAGTAGAAGTTCCTGGCGTGTCACCAACAGTACAGTTTTCATCACGTGGCCGACCGTATCCACCTCCCGAACATGCCCGCTACATCCATCACGATCATCTTCTCACCCTACCACGTCGGCCTCCGCAACCACCGCGTCGGCGACGGCCCAAACCGAATCCGAGCTCTCGGACTCATCCACCAGCTTGAAGCTCTAGGCGTCACAGTCCACATCCACGAAATCCCACCCGTCGACGACTTCGAAGGCGAGATAGGCCGCAGTTTCGAAGTCCTCCGCCGCACCTCCCTAGCAGTCAGCAAAGCGCGAGATGGCAATTCCTTCCCTTTCATCCTCTCCGGCAACTGCATGGCTAGCGTAGGCGCAGCTTGCGGACTGGGTATCAAGGATCTCAATTTCATCTACTTTGATGCGCACGACGATATGGATACGCCTTCCACGAATGAGAATGGGTATTTTGACGCCATGGGCTTGTCCATGTTGGCGGGTAAGAGCTGGCATTGGCATACGGAGCAAATACCGGGGTACGCGCCGATGAACTACAAGGACCGGTTCTTGTACGTCGGGCTGCGCGATGTGAATGAGACGCAGAAGAAGACGGTTGCGGAAGCTGGAGCGGATGTTATTTGGGGTGATGCTGGGAAGGCTGTGGATTTCCCGAGCGAGTTGGAGAAGCGACTTGACATGAGGGGTATGTCGCCGTCGCTTGTGCATCTGGATTTGGACGTCCTGGATAAAAGTGTGGGCATGGTCAATGGTTTCGAAAGCGAGGGTGGACTACAGGAGGAGGATGTAGTCAAGTGTATGGGTTTGTTGCCGAAGAAGGCCACGCCGGTATCGATTACTATGTGCTCTTTCAACCCTAACCTGGGCGATGGCGATAAGATTGCAGGTATAGGCATTCGCGCTGCTGTGGCCTTCGTGGAGGCGTTGATTGCAACATCAGTGCTATCAGCGTAACGATAGCGAATGCTACGAAGAAGAATATATCAGACTTGCAACAATGAGACCTATCCCGATCCTAGAAAAGGTTATCGTTGTCGCTGTCGTTGTTGTTGGAAACATGGGCCTTCGCCCGTACTTCTCACAAAGGCTCGCGAGGTCAGCATGAGCGGAACGATAGATTTCCCCGTATTGCCTAAGAGTTGATCCATGCAGAAGCAAGACGATGTTGCCACTGCAACCTCATGTCGGATAGAATGCATAATGGTGACTTCCGCTTATCAAAAGCAGCCGACTGCGCCCAGGGCCACGGGCCTGGGAAGTCGCGGCCGGGACAGCCTTCCCGCCAAGCCGCGCGACCCCAAATCGCCCCGCTCACCTCCAAAAACCTTCCGCCTCGTTATCTATAGCGATGATCACACGCGTTTCCATTTCAGCATGAAAAGAGTGCGCCTTTGACCCAGACTACGGTCTGGTTCTGGTTTTCCAGCGCGACGCTGAAACCTCACGCCACGTCCTATTTTCACCCAACCCAACGCGCCGTGCGCGCAGTTCACCTGGGCACTCGCCGCCACATCTCCTGCTGAACTGCGGACGCGCGACGCCCACTTGCCCAGGCACCAGCGAGGATGTCTGCCCATTGGCCCTTTGAACGCAGCCCGCCATCTGTCTTGTATGCAGTGCAGACGCCATGCATAGCAGCGTCACGCATGACCTCACAGCTCATTGCTTCGAGCGTCCACTTCCACCGGTGAGCGTTGGAGCATAGCCCCGCTCCCAGGTAATGCCCATTCACCTCAAGTCCTCCCGCAGCATCTTTTCGCAGCTTTGTGTGCACTGCGACAAAGTTTACTTATCTATTCCTAACACGCTGTTAATGAGTGTTCCCGCACACGGCACCATACTATCTACACGAGCGTCGGCAGACGTAACAGCTTCATTCCATCTACGTCAGCCTAATAGCGAAGACAAGACGGAACATCGAAATGCGCCTCATCAATTGCTCAACACTACAACTGGAAGAGTTCTTCGGGGCGAACATCCCGCGCTATGCTATTCTCTCGCATACCTGGGGAGATGAAGAGGTGTCGTTCGCCGATTTCACCTCTGGTCAGCCCATGGTCGGATCTGGTTACCAGAAGATTCTTTTCACTTGCCAGCAGGCGATCGAAGACGGCATCGACTACGCATGGATAGACACCTGCTGTATCGACAAGAGCTCTAGCGCAGAGCTTTCTGAGGCGATTAACTCGATGTTCGCCTGGTATCAGAAGTCAGTCCGCTGTTATGCGTATCTTTCTGATGTCTCGGCAGCCAATATGAAGCAGGATTTCCCTAAGAGTAGATGGTTTACACGGGGTTGGACACTCCAGGAGATGTTAGCCCCAAGAAAGGTTATCTTCTACGATCAATGGTGGGTTGACTTGGGCGATCGGGAAAAGCACGCCGAGCAGATATCCAAGATTACAGGAATTGATAAAGTGGCCTTGTGGAATGAACGGCCGTACACGGATGACAAATTCGGTTCCTATTGCGTCGCGACGAGGATGTCATGGGCTTCCAAGAGGCAGACGACACGTGCGGAGGACATGGCCTACTGCCTCCTTGGGATCTTCGACATCAATATGCCGCTTCTGTATGGAGAAGGTGACCGGGCATTTCGTCGTCTCCAGGAGGAGATTATCCGGAAGAGCGATGATGATTCCATCCTTGCCTGGTCCCTATCGCCAGAGGACAGGTATTCTGGTCCTCTAGGGCTTCTATCAGATGATATTAGGCAAGATCTATGTAATACGACTGATACCGACTTTTTGGCTCGCTCACCAAGATGCTTCACAGACTGTGGCAACTTGACTCGCGCTATGGAACCGTCCACTTTGTTCACGTTGACGAATACGGGCCTGCAGATCCAACTACCAATTGTAAAGGTCTTTGAATGCAGCGAATATCACTGTTGCAGGGTTGGAGCTTCAGGCCTTGTATGGATCGGGCTACTTGGTTGCTCGATATCGTTCAACGGGGACTTCTTAGGCATTCTGCTCTGCCCGAACGGAGACGAGAATAATCCCAGCGTAAGAGTGATGCGTCAATGGTGCCGTTACAGTACTGTTGTTGTCGGTCCAAGAGCCGCGTTCGGTTCAGTCAGTAAAACATTGACAATTGCTGGATTTGGTGGGTTCCAAAGAGGACGAAACTTCGACTACGCGCGCGTTGAGCAGGTTATCGTCAACGAATGCAGGGCCATCCGCCGTCTTGGTTATCAACTCCAGGCTTTTATTGCATGGAAGTCTGTTGGAGGAAAACCACTACTGGCTTACCATCCGTTTTGGGATCCAGAAGCAAAGATTCTTACCCTTAGAGAAATTGACCCGTTTAACAGTTTGTTCGAATTCAGCTTCAAACCATCGTCGAGCAGTCAAGAGCCCAAGTTCACTGTCTTTATAAATGGGGCTGGTAGAGGTACAGTGAGGGCAGGAGACGTCTTTTCTGAAGATGAAAGGCTTGCCTTACACGGTCTTCTTAAGGGCAACGGCGATCAGCCTTATGACAAGGATCGGGACTATGACAAGGGCGACGTTTTGGTACATGACGGCAAAGGGCGCCCGTTTCATATCCGCGTTGAGGTCCACACTAAGATTGTTGGCCATCATAAGCTGGTCAGAGTTAACGTTGATGCTTTAAAATATGGCGTTTCGGACAAGGAACATGGTAGGAGCTGTAACTGCGAGAAGGATGTATACTTGCATTAATCTATACTCGGTACCTATTCTGCCCAGCTGTACAAAGGCTACAATTGCATGTACAAATTCACATCGTCCTAGAGGACAAATCTCGCCCTCACATGAGCCAAAAGTGGAAACTGAGACGGCCTACAACCCCGACTATACGTGGCTGTGAATGAATATAAGGCCTGTCATCCGGCACCGATATGTCATGACCATGCTTTGAGATATAATATTCGCATTACCGTGAGTTTTACCAATCTTCGGCCACCAGCTCATGTCGCCAAGCAGCCGGGAATCTACATCCGCGATGGCGTCTGCCAGCAGGTAAACATCACGTGCGCGCGGCGACCTCGGGAATCTAAGGCACGCCCAGGATGGAACCTCGATTGCCTGCGAACATTTAAACCGTGATACTGAATTGCATTCCCGTGAGTGTACCTCCAGACAAATCCGCGCAACCGCCTATCCTCCCAAGTGGACCCACGTCATCGGCGCATTCCTCGGCGCGTTCGCTAACCACGTTTGCCCCACCCAGAAAGCCGCATCTCCACTCTTCACCTCCAAACCACGCGATAAGAGCCGTTGGCACTGCCAGCTTGCGGTAGCTTCGGAAAGCTATCAGCGCGCGCTCGCCTTCCTGTTTACGATGCTCAAGACGCCCTTTACGTATTTGTGTAGTGTGCATAAGGCGTAGCGGGTGATGCTGGCCAGTCAGGTTGAAGGGCCGAGTGCTTATCAGGAAGATTGGCGGTTTTGATGATTGTTGATCCTGGTAGCATCGCAGACACCGACGCGGTCTTTGTCGTTGGATTGAAGATGGGTTAAGGAATGGATCGGGATCATGACTCTTTGCCAATGGAGATTATGTCTTGGAGATCAATCTCTTCGGTAAAGCAGGAAATGGCGCCGACGTATAAAGCTCGCAGGCCTGCAGCTGTATGGAGCTTCATCACGGACTTTCGCCAGACCCCGGTTTGGACTTTTCGTGGACAAGATGCGCTTCTCTCGGTCGATCGGCGTCGCGTCTTTCGTCGTTGCCGGTGTGCAGGCTGCTGTTTCTTCCACTGGATTCACGGTATCCTTGACCGACATCGATTACTTCCTGCCGCCTAAGCCAATTGCGAAGATATCGAGCTGCGAAGAGATTCAGGCCTCCTTCGAAGATGCTGCGTTTGTGCCGTTCACAGTGGTGAAGCCTCACAACGGTAGTGTAGATGTCGCGTCGCTCACAGCAAGCTATGCGCATGATGATGTATGGCAAGAAGGCTTCATGGACGGTATGCACCCAAGCTCACGCTCCCGAGACCCTCACTGATCATTTCTTCCAGCCATTTACGTCCAGGGTAGCGATTCCAAGCCAATGAACTCTTCGTTGACTATACTATCCGGTACCGCATCCAAGGAATTAGCTCCAGGACCCTACTTCATCAACGCAGCTGGTCATGTCTACGAGGCATGGAGACTATTCTCCGATATGCAAGGCGCTTTCACCGAGTCTGCAATCGCGAACGGCGACGGTTCATACTCGGTTTTACCTGCGGGTACTGTGGGTCAAAAGCATGCCATCGCCGTGCCTTCGCGGCTGTACTTCACCAAGACGGCCGAGAAGCCATTGGCTGGTGTAAGAATTGGTATCAAAGACATCTACGGTACGACACACCATCACCACGTAGGCTATGGTCCTTGAACATGGACTGACAAGAACCGCAGATATCAAGGGCCTGCGAACTTCCAACGGAAACCGAGCTTGGTACTGGCTATACCCTCCTGCCAACGCGACCGCGCCACCCGTCCAGAACCTGATCGACGCGGGAGCTATCATCGTCGGCAAGATGATCACCTCTCAATTCGCCAACGGTGAAACCGCAACGGCCGACTGGGTTGACTACCACGAGGCATTCAACCCCCGTGGCGACGGCTACCAAGATACCTCCTCCAGCTCTTCCGGTGGTGGCGCAGGAACCGCATCCTACTCCTGGCTCGACGTCAGTCTCGGATCCGACACCGGCGGCAGTGTGCGCGGCCCATCGCAAGTCCAAGGTCTCTACGGCAACCGTCCATCTCACGGTCTGGTGTCTCTAGACCACACCATGCCGCTCAGTCCCGTGCTCGACACCCCCGGCTTATTGGCGCGCAACCCTCAAATCTGGATGGAAGCAGCCCAAGCCATGTACGGCCCCAACATCACCATCACAAGCAACTACCCAACCACCATCCAAACCCTCGGCTGGCCCACCGAAGTCGAAGACGTCGCCGACCAACTCCTCGTCGACTTCCTCGGAAACGTAACCGACTTCCTGAGCGCAAACGCCAGCGCATTTAACGTCACAGCCTCTTTCGACGCAGCGAACCCAGATGTCGCACCTCTTACGGTCTTACAGAACCTCACCTACGCTGTCCTAATCACCAAGCAGCAAATTGAGCTCGTCCGCGAACCCTTCTACGCCGACTACGCCGAAGTCCACGACGGCCGCCTTCCGTTCGTTAACCCCGTCCCGCTAGCTCGCTGGGGCTGGGGCGACAACCAGACCATCACCGTCGACGAGGCTGTTAACAATAAGACTATCTTCCAAACCTGGGCCAACGAGACTTTCCTCGCTCCATCACCAGAAACCTGCTCTGAGTCCCTCGTCATGTACGTCGGTTCCACCGGCGGTACTACCTACCGCAACACGTACTGGGACGAGCCCGGTGTACCTTTTGGCTTTGGCAACAGTCGCATCTCGGTTATGGCTGAGGTGCCAGACTATGTTGTGCCGCTGGGTGAGGCGCCGTATAACTCGACGATTACGGGGCATGTGGAGTATTTGCCTGTTACGGCGAATTTGATGGCGGCCAAGGGGTGTGATGGCATGTTGTTCTCGCTTATTAATGAGTTGTATGAGGCGGGTATTTTGAAGGAGAGTAAGGTTGGTCAGAGTGGGGTTACGGGTGGGGAGATCTTGTTGAGGAGGGATGGGCTGTGGTGAAAAGCTTATATATCAATGGAAGCTCAAGTACACTACTAACCTGAGTCCGATATGCGCGTGCGTTTATCTGTGTAGTATAATCCATGCCCCTATCTTCCATCCAGTCACCCTTCTCAAACAAGGCATCTTCCCATCAAACCTGGAACCTCCACCTCGGATGCCGATCCCCCATCTTAACATCCTCCACACTATCATGAAACCCGCCCGTCTGCGGCCTCTCCACCAACACCCGCTCTTTTTCCGCATTCTCCCTCTTCAACAACACCCACAACACCCCCACAACCAGCAAGTTCAAACACAAATACCCCAACGCAAAACTATGCCCAAGCACATATCTCGGTCCAGAGTTCGCGCGATACAACTGCGTCCCCAGCACCGCCCCCAGGTTCCCAATGCTAATTTGCATGGCATTAGCCGTTGCGCGCTTGGTCTGCCCACTGACGTTGATGGCGGGCCAGCAGAGGACCAGGGCGACGGAAGGGTAGATGCCGATAGCTGCGAAGAAAGTCCCTACGTAAGATACGCCTGGGCGTGCTTTGGGATCTGTGTTAGCGAGCAGGATAATGTAGCCGATGATTGCGACGGTGGAGGTGGTTAGGATGAAGAGGGCGCGGCGGGCGTAGCGTTCGGAGAGGATGGCCCAGAAGATTGTGAAGAGGGTTGCGACGGCGTAGGGGGGGATGGTGAGGAGCTGGGATTGGGCGGATGTGTAGCCCATGTCGCGGATGATTGTTGGCTTGAGTGGTGTTAGAGTGGTGTGCGTGGTTGGTGGGTTGGTGGGCTTACTAGGAAGAGGGATAGAGTGTATAGTGGTAGACTCATGGTGTGGAAGGCAAAGGCGTAGAGCCAGATTTTGATGTCTTTTGCGGCTAGCAGCACTTCCGCCCATGAGAATGCTTCGTCGTTCGTTGCGTCGCTGTCGGCTTTGAGACGAGCTTGCACGAACGCTCTTTCTTCTTTGCTGAGCCAGCTGACGGTGGCGGGGTAGTTTGAGATGAACCAGTACGCGACTATTCCGATGATAATGGTGAGCAGACCCTCCTACGTTGCTATTAGTGATGAGTTCATGAGCAGGTTGGTGGGCGTACCAAGATGAATATCCATCGCCATCCAGCGTATCCCCCCACGTTACGCATATGCGCAATGCCATATGCTAGGATCTGGAAGCGTCAGCACTGAATATTGTATATATATGAGAGGTAGCATACACCACCAAAAGCCCCGGCAAGACTCGCGCAGCTAAAAAACAACGAAATGCGATACTGGCGCTCATTGCGCTTATACCACATACTCAAATAATACACCACTCCAGGAAACAGCCCCGACTCTGCCATCCCCAGACTGCAAGTCATTAGTCTATCTCATACCATCATCTTATCCAGGCTACTCACAAGAAGCGCACCGCAAAAAAGCCAGACAGGTTCTGCGTAACACCCATCAGCGTAGCCACAACACCCCACACCACCGTAAGCGTAGGCAGCCAGAACTTCGGCGTTGTGCGTTTGAGGACGATGTTGCAGGGTATTTCGAAGAGGACGTAGCCGATGAAGTAGAGGGTTAGGCCGGTGAGGTATTGGTTGCCTGTCATGCCTAGGTCGGTTGTTAGGCCTTCGATACGTGCGTTGGCGACTGGGCTGTTTGTTAGTATACTTTTGTCAGCGGTGGGTATGAAGGAGTTTGTACCATTGCTGCGATCAAGAAAGCTGAGCAGATACAAAATTGACACCGCGGGCAGGAGTCTTAGATCTAATGTTCTGAGTAACTTCTTCTCGTTGATGGTGCCTGGGACGATTTCCACATCGCTCGCGGAAGAGGTCGATGCAGCAGGTGCATCGTTCTTCTCCGATGCCATCGTCACGTTCGCACTGGTTTTCACGCGGTGTCGAGACGTGAATTATCCATCTAACAACGCCCGGGCACCAAGCTGTTCTTATCAACCGCACCACCCTCGCATTCCTCGTAGCTTCGAATGATGCAAGAACGTGGGTCAATCAGCTCAAGCCGCGGCAGCGTCATGCCCCAGGCCAGCCGGGCAAACCTCAGTCATGACGGCGTGCTCTCATTGGAGCGCACAGCAACCCGCTTCCAATGCGAGATTTGCTGCATTGTGACAGGGCAAGCGTTATCGGCTTTACTGCACGGCATGGCGGGCGTGTTACAAGGGCTTATGAGTTGGGGTTGTACACGAAATCGAGAGGTGGTATGTCGTGATTGCACTAGCCGCTTGAGGTATAGACCCGAATGGACCACGTTGTTATTCGATGGAGACGACGGGTGTTTGATGAGTGAACAGGTGGTCGATGTTTGATTTGATGGGTTTTTGTCTGAGGAGGTTGCGTTCATCGGTATTTGGATCAGCATGGTTGTGGGGTGACGTGGGGAGGGTTTGATGGATGTTGTGGTACGAATGCGCGGATCAACATGCGTTCGTGACGATACATGGCAGGAGGCTCGCTCGGACGGATAGAATACGCGATTTGCTCAGCGATCGGCACAGAACTACCGTTTCCCTTTTCCCCCAATAATCCCAATACCCCTAATGAAAAAGATAACAACAGCCGTAGACGCAACACTCATACCAAAGTTAAACCAAGCCGTCGTCCTAATACCCACCTTGAGCGCATCATCCCAAGGCACCGTCTCATGTCCCTCACCACCAATCTGATCCACACTCAACCCCTTCTCCCTAGCCACAACAGCCGTCTGAACCGCCGTCGCGATCGCCAGCCCAACCGCCCTCCCAATCTGACCCACAGCCGTAATAAGCGCCCCTCCCAGCGAAGCATCCTCCGCCGGCAGCGTCTTCGCCACAAACAGGGTAAGTACCGGGAAGATGGTATCCGCACCCGAGACACACAGGACCATAGCCGGGAAGCCATACGCCCAGTATGTTGTATGCACCGGAATGGGGATTGCGAAAAGTAAGGAGGATATACTCACACAGATAGTACTGAAGGTAAGTATATAATCGCCCGGCACACGAGACAGAATCTGCCCAGTGATGGTAGCCACCAGAATCCCCGTGATGCCATTGGGTAGAAAGCGCAGCGTAGTTTGGATAACGGAAAGGCCTTGGTAGTCCTGGAACCAGTAGGTTGCGAAGATGAGATAGTTGTTGAAGGACGAGAAGAACAGCGCCATGAGCACATTGGCAGCAGTAAATTTACCGTTTTTGAAGATGCTCATCTTCATCAAGGGTCGCCGCTCCGTCTTGTGCTCGAGGTAATGCTGCCAGAAGCCGAATGCGCCGATGATGATTAGTGAGAGCACGATGAGGACTGGTACCCATGGCGTACTCCAGCCCACGACGTTGCCTTCGGAAAGCGCGAACACGAGGATAACGAGACCGATGGTGATGAGCGATCCGCCGATCCAATCCACCGTGTTGCGCAACACAGGTTCGGGCTTCATTGGCGGGATTGGGATAACGAAGTAACTCGCAACAGTCGAAATCCCCGCAATAATCCCAAACAACCAGAAAACCCACTGCCAGTCGAGATACTCGCCCACGACACCACCAAAGATGTTGCCCAAGACGCCACCCAGTGGGGCCCCAGCACCAAAACAGCCAAAAGCGATGTCCTTGGTCTTTCCGGGTGGGAAGGTAGAAGCGAGGATGCCGAGAGCGGTTGGTGCCATGGCGGCGGCAGCGAGACCCTGGAGACCGCGGAAGATGTCGAAGCCGATTTCATTGGGGATGAAGGGCGTTATTATTGATGTGAGTGTGAAGGCTGCGGAGCCCCAGAGGAAGATCATTCGTCGGCCGTAGACGTCTGCTAGACGGCCCCATAGTAGCTGGACGGTCGTGTTAGGAGAGGGTAGATATGATAGAGAGATCTAAAAGACGTACTAGGAAGCAACCAAACGTCAAGTTGTACGCAGAGATAATCCACTGCTGACGACTAACTGGAATATCCAATTCTTCCCCAATGGTAGGTAGGATGATAACGGATGCTTGAACCGCCATCGTCTACCCCAAGTTGATCAGTCCCCTTCCTCTCTTCTCCAACAAAAATCATCGGGCATACTCACGCTCAAAAACGGCGCCGCAGCAATAGTCGTAACAAGCGCCACACACCGTGCTTTCGAAAACGGCAAGCGTTCAGAAGCCGATGTATCAACAGCCACAAGTCCATGCTCTTTCTCTGCATCATCCGCCATCTGGTGTGTCGCGGTGACCACGCGTTCCAGATCCGTGACGCCCTCAACAGGCTCCGGGGCTTTTTCTTCGCGTTTCGACATCTTCGTGACGCGCTGCGAAGGGATGCATATAACAGTCGGCAGCCTCCGCCATGCTTCCAGTGGGGTACCCCATCTTTATAAACGATTGAAGTCTGGGGGAAAGAATATGCCGAAGAGCTCGCTTGCCGACCGCCACAAATGCGCCTTTGCGAGCGCGGCTAAGGGTTTATCCGGGGGTGTGCTGGTGGAAAAGGTAGGACCAGAATAACAGAAAGCTCGCATCGTATTGGAATGCCAGTGTGATACGGAAAACTAATCCTGATCTGCGAAACACGCATGAAAGGCGGTCTTCATGGTGGTAATGTAGCGGGAGGAATGGTCTTACATTCCACCAATCGCAGCGGGCTTATATCAGCACAGACTAATCGTGGATTTTCGCTGTCGGTATAGTAGCAGCTGCATGTCGACGAGCGCAAGAGAGACCGGCGACATGCGACACTAGATCATCAATCAAGATGCGAAGTCAAGACAGTGGACATAAATTCATTGCTCATGCTATTACATTCCAGTTCCATTCCAAGTCGTCAAGCAACCTCAATCGATGTATGCAAGAGGGAGAAACGCGACCGGACCACTGTTGCCCAAGAGCCAGCCATCAAAAGAAGGCGGCGGCGACATCATCATCAAACAAATAGTCTAAGCGCGAAAGGGGGTATGAAGAAGAGGGAGCAAAGGAAGATTTGTTTATGGCTTGTGGATGTCAATGACCATCTCGGTCTCGACAGTTTCCGCCTTCTTGGCGAACCTGGCGACATCGGCGCCCTCGACCTTGCCGTACATGGTCTCGGCGATTATGCCGGTGATCTGGTATGGGTCACCGTTGGAGGCCGGGCGGCGGTCCTCGAAGTAGCCCTTGCCCTCGGCTGCGACGGCGCGGGGGATACGGACGGAGGAACCGCGGTTGGCGACGCCCCAGGTGAACTTGTCGTAGGAGGCAGTCTCGTGCTTGCCGGTCATGCGGAGCTGGTTGTCTGAGCCGTACACGGCCATGTGCTCGGCTTGGCGGGTGGACAGTTTCTCCATGGCGGCCTCGATGGCCTTCATGCCGTTGTCGCCACGAGTCTCGTTGGTGGAGACGTTGGTGTGCAGACCGGCACCGTTCCAGTCACCGGGGATGGGCTTGGGCGCAAAGGTGACCTTGGCACCGAACTCCTCAGCGACGCGGTGGAGAAGGAAGCGCGACATCCAGAGCTGGTCACCGAGCGAGATGTCGGGGCAGGGACCGACTTGGTACTCCCACTGGGCGGGCATGACCTCGGCGTTGGTGCCGGAGATGGCAATCTCGGCGTACATGCAGGCCTTGTAGTGAGCCTCGACGATGTCACGGCAGAAGACCTTGCCGGTACCGACACCGCAGTAGTAGGGGCCTTGTGGGGCGGGGAAGCCGTTCTTGGGCCATCCGTAGGGCCAGCCAAACTCGTCGAGAAGGGTGTACTCCTGCTCCAGACCGAACCAGAAGCCGTGCTCCTTGTGCTTCTCGAAGATGATGGCGGCGTCGTGGCGGAAGTTGTAGGCGTTGGGCGAGCCATCCGACATGTACGTCTCGCACATGACCAGGACGTTGTCGCCCAGACGGAAGGGGTCGGGGTAGTATGCAACGGGGCGGAGGTAGACGTCCGAGTTGTCGCCGGGCGCCTGGCCCGTCGACGAACCGTCAAAGTTCCATTCTGGGAGGTCCTTGAGGCTCTCGACCTTCGACTTGAGCGTCTGCGTGCATGTCAGTATGAGCCTCGGGTAATCGGAATGAAGTCGGGTGGGATGAGGGAACGACGTCACTGCGGGCTGTGGCTGGTGGTGGGGTGCGATAAGAAGGAACGCCAAAACTTCCGGCAGAAGGAGCGATTGGCGCCATGTGCGTCACACATGCAGACCACCACGCTCGCGACTCCAGTCGTCGAATGGCTTCTCCAGATTGTGTATCGCACGGCGCGTCGCAGCCAGTTGCTGCTCTCGGCTAGGAACCTCGAACCGCAGACTAGACCGATCCGCAGCCGTAGCGTGGTGCAAATGCCGCGGTATATCGCAGAGATCGTGGAGATCGGGTTGAGGGATCGGAAAGCTGGAAAATGCTCACCTTTGACTTGGAGCGGATTCCGTTGGAACCGTCTATCCAGACGTACTCGGCCATAACGGCGCCCTTTTGGGGGAGGTCGAGGTACTTCTTGAGCTGCAATGCGCATTAGCATGTGTTTGAACGTAGCACGCGAGCAGTAGACTTACGTTGGCCGCATTGGAAACAATCGTTGAGTTCGCCTAGGATATGGTCAGCAAGAGTCGCGTGTAGTAGCAGTCGGCGACACGTACCATGACTGTGGTTGTGTATGTATGGTGGTGAGGGAATAGCAAGTAACTCTTGACTGCGACAAGACAAGGCAGTGGAGGGGTTATAAGAGGGGTCTCTGTGTGAAGTGGGGAGTTATGATGGGCAAGTAGATAAGGATAGCGGGCCTGGGGGTCTGTTATAAGGTAAGAATGCTGGATTGCTTTGACTGTCTCGGCCTGTGGCGGGGCTAGCCGTGCTCAGATACTACTTAGGCTGGCCGTAGCCAAGAGGCGTCGCCGAACTGTTTCCGTGGGATGAAGAAGCAATCAATGTCTCTAAACGCGCGACTTTACGCCGCATCCCAGCATGCCTTGCCCACTCTGCAATCTCTAGGCTTCCGCTAGCCACGGTTGTACCGTCTCTCTGGTGATATTGTGCCCAATCTCGCGTCGCCGGTTTCCAAGGCTTACCATAGGCCCACGCGGTCTTTGTCGCGCATCGTGATGTTGGCTGACGGGCGAACGCACAGACGCACAGCCTCACCAGCTTCCGAGTTTGAGCGATTTGACGCTGGGTAGCGTCGCTGTAAGGGCAGCTAATTTTATCCAGGTACTGCCGAATTGGTCATGCCCTTCGGCTTTGGCCCGTACCAACGACAGTTACGACACACCGCTCCACCCGACTATTGCTTTGCGATGGCCGTTCGTATGCATCGCCAACCTCTGCCCAACACGAGCTGCGTAACCCTGAATACCCAGACCCTGCGCGTCCACGTCTCGCGACACCTGCATGCCCAGCTCGCTGTAGTGCATAACCGTCGCGCTGGGCAGGGCGCGCCGTTGCCCGGGGTTGACATCGGGGGGCGATAAGGCCGGTTCGGGCCAATGGCTGCAGTTGCAGTTAGTCCTGCCTCGTCATGGCAGCATCACGCAAACCGCTCAACGTCGTTTCTTGTAGTCAGCATCCGAGACTCTAATAGCCTTCCGACCGGTGTGTCCGTTTTATTGTCTGGGACCAGAGGACGTGCATTATTCTAGAAGAGCGCTGGAAGTCTCTGTCGCTGGTGTCGTCTCGACTTCGATGGTACGGCTGGAAGATTCCCATCTCAACCCCACAGGTTTCCTGGCCCGCCGGCGACACAGCGCGCACGCGGCACATTCGAGTTGCACGAATTGCCGTCATCCAAATGATAATCCCTCTCCAACCCCACGATTGTGATTAATCCAGCGCGTTCGAGACATCCCGACAAAGGTAAAAAAGCCGCACAGCGACGTCGGCTCAACATTATCGTGCGTCGACGTTGGGCTTAGCGGGGTTGCGGGCGAGCCGTCGATCCGCTAGCACTGCATGCCCCCTGGCACCAGAGATAAGGGACATGGGCGAATTTCCATGTTACGTTAGCCCATCGAGTAACGCCGCCGGCCGTTGCGCCCTGGATGACATGCTTGCCCGCCAGCGACACAACAACAGCTTTTCACAATGTCAATATCTCACAAGTAGCACCGTCTGCGCAAACGTCACATCACAGTTCACAAACAGCCTGACGTTTGACGTGAAGATCAGGAACCGTGCGTGTGGCGGTGTCATCTCCGCTTTAGGCAAGGCTGGAGGCCCGCTCGTGTGCTGGAGCGTGGTCGAGAATGCTTGTATTTCCCCAGATGATAGCTTGCGCTGATCCAGGGAGCCTCATCTGCATGGTTCACGCCAGGCAGCCAGTCAGCCAGTGGAGTGGTGGTGCTGGACATGGACAGTGCTCACACGTGCGGCCTATACCAACCGGAGACGCAACACCACCAGATATTGCGAGTCGTTTGCGAGACGACGCCTAGCTGCGCTGGGAGATATTGAGGCCAACCATCAGACGTCCAACGTCGATCCGTTCCCACCAACGCAGCCATCGGCGAACGGTGTCTCTGCCACATGGCATTGGCCTCTGGGCTGCGTTGCTGCGATACCCGGCGTGCGCACAGAAGCAATGTGTGGCACGATCCCTCTGGTGCGGTCCGGGACGATTGATGACCTGCAGCGCGATATGGGTGTGGTGGGGTGGCAGCAACGGGTGTACCTGCAGCAGCACAGGCTACGCTGGACGAAGCGCTCGGAACGATACGGGGGAAGATTTTGGCCATGGCCGACCTCCGGGAAGCTAGGCCTCCGGAAATGGCGCCAGTAGCATGGTGTTGGAAAATCCGGGGTAGATGTTGGCGTCGCTGCCGGATGGGGGTCGATGATGCTATAGGTTATGCGCACTGATCTCGCGTTAGTACAACTCCACCCGCTCTCAGTCCATGGCGCAATTAGCTTCTCCGGATCACTACCTCTGAGCTCCCGAACATGCTGGAGAAGTGATTGTCGGCGATTCATGGTCCACTGTATCGACATGGGCCAATCATGGTGAATGCCAATGACGCATTGACGAAGTAGCAGTTGCGACGCCAAACGTCGGGATGGAACAAGGGATTGCGAGCAGACGGTTCCAAGATATTGTCTCTGTCGCTGCACAATGAAGGAGCCTCACGTAGTGTTTGCGTGTTTGTGTACTGGCAATATGGTCTTGTCTGCGAAAGGTCAGTGTTCGTCCAATCACTCCCGTCGGCACCTCCAGGGCTTCGAATTGGTCGCTCACATAAGACGTTCCCATCATACAGCGGTACATGTGTTATATCGAACACGTCTATCATCGGCCCTGCTGCCATTGGGGTCGTGATAGGTTTGTAGGTGAGCCATGTTGTCGGTCTCGGTTCGTCGACGGACACGCCTTGGCATGTACCTATGCCGAGGACATGGGATCGATTAACAGCAGCGAGTTTTGTTCCGACTGTAGGTACCGCCTCGCGAGTGGGACAACATGGCGGCCATTCGCTCACATCGAGGTGATGCTGCGCGAGAGGATGAAGGAGAGGACAGAGTAAGAGAAGGAAGACTGGAGTATGTCGTGGGGCCACGTGCTACCACCATCTGTTGTTTACCTGAGTGGTTTGTTCCAAAGTGGGCAGTAGAATGGGTATGTTCCTACTCCGCTCCTTTTTGTAGCGACAAACGAGAACGCGATGTCGTTCCTTCCGCTTCAGATTTCTCAGCGCCTTGGTGAGCATGGGGCAGCACAATTCGGCGTTCGCTTAAGACGGTACAACTGAACAGTCCCCACTACAGGTCGAGCTGTGTTCTTTGGAACAGAGGTACTTACCGTCCCACACTGGTGCAGGAGACCTTGGCTGGTGTCGCCAGCATCCCATCGCCATCACCGAACAGACTGCGAAAGGTGGAAGCACGAAACATCCTTGAAACGCGACGAAATCGAAAGAGCAGGGAGCGAACACTCGAGAAGAGAAGATTTAATCATGTTGTACGGTCATGTCGTGAAGTTGGGGCATGATGAGGGGAGGAAGCTTGGGCTGCAGCCGTGGCCAATGAGCGATTGCGATGGGGTAACAGCAACCACGATGCTCCTGCCTTGCGCGTTTCTCGCGTCTAGCTTGTGTTTGGGGACTGTGTAACAGTGTGGTGTTGATGAGATATTCGCGTAATCGCAGTGCTTATTCAAGTCCCAGAATGTGCGGCTGTCCGCAAATCGGCATGCGCGGCTTAGAAAGGTGAAGTAAAGCGAGAAGCTATGAGCCTGGTGCAACAGCAGGATGTTTAGCTAGCTAGGCTCATAGAAGTCCAGTACTTGCTGTGGAAGACTGTGCCAACAAAAGATGGGATGACTGGATTACGTACTTAATAGCGAATACATGCACTCAAGCTTAAAGTCTACTCAAGAAAAAGTTCCTCTAAATGAGGAATATGTCAGAAGAAGGTGAACGCGGAGGATCTGCGGTTGCCCGATACGGACATGAAGGCAGGCACGCTTTACCCTCCCACTTCGCGCACGACATGCTTCTAGCTACATCACTCTCACTATCTTCTCTCTTGACAACACAGTCACCTCGAATCTGAGCGGTGCAGTCACGACGGTGAGTACCGCACGACCTTCACTGAAGCAAAAACTGACGAACGACTTGATAGAGCCATGGCTGACAGCGACATTCACGACGATCACGAGGAGCCTGCCAATGCGCGACACCACGCAGGACGTCACGAGATCTTAAAGCCGTTCATTCCCAGCAACGGTAATCTATACAAGCCCGATGGATGGCCTCTAGAGACCTTCGCGGAAAGAAGAACCCTTGCCGACCATGTCGTTCGAGAATATATAACCCTGCGCAAGCTCCGACCAAAGACTCATTCTAAAAGCCTTCTTGCTTCGCACGGGAAAGCACTCGATGGATTGGCGGCATATCTAGACGAGATCAAGAACATGGAGGCATCCGAACGATCCGTGGGAACCATGACGGAAGAGACGGATCAAGAGAAGGGGATGTCGCCGCTGCCCCATCTTCCTACTGAACCTGAACTACCCTCGCGATCACCGAGCGTTACCTCATCAGCAGACGAACTCGAATCTCCACGGATCCAGGCTTCCGGTCACATCGCCAAACCCCCCAGCGCCTCAAACAAGAGTTTCTCCGCCCCTCCAAGTCCTATTGTGAGGGTCTCAAATTCCAATGCCAAGACCGGTCAGGCAGAGTCAGGCAATGGGTGCGCAGAACAGGCGAAGAAGCGATTGAGTGGCCGCAGCTTGAAGGAGGCTGCTAAGGGGGCTTTGAAGGGTGCGATGAAAAAGTTTGGGCTCCACCGTGATGCAAGTAGACTATGAAGACGACATGGAAGCCTCGCTTAGGAGGGTTCATGGAGGACTAGGAGGGTTGGTTCTGTACTTAGCAGCACATACAAGTAGAGCCAATATACCAGACCGACTTCGTGTTATTTGCTGCCTATACTCTATCAACTATTTCATAAAGGATATGGATGTCCAACAGTGTAGACGCCAACTTTAAATGTATCCGGCAACGGACGTAGGAAGTGGCGTAGTTCTGCTAATTAAATGAGGAAAGTAACTGCAAGACTTGTGGTAGCTCTAAATCCGCCGCTGACGCAGAGTGTGATGGAGACGCTAGTCGCGGCTGCCCTAAAAGGTATTTTTGTAGATGTGACTACATCCTCACGATCTGCACTCTGAGAACGGCGGCGCCTTCCATGCTAGCCCGACCTATACAAACTGCAGTATGCCGTACGGCGTCGAGAACCGTAGTCCAGCTCCAGCTCAGCCCAGCCCCTGAGATTAGCGAAAGGATGCGCTGACTCGTCGCGAACCACGTCGGCGGGACGCGTGACCCTGGGTGGTCGGCAATACAGCCCTGGAGGTGTCTGTCGCAGACGTGTCTTGTGTGACGGTCTCGCGCCGAAAACACGGCGACTTTGTTTCGCAGCACGATAATATCCGTCCCGGGGATGCAGGGTGGCTGTTGAGGAAAAAAGAAAAGCTGCAGGTACGGCGAGCGTGGTGCGCGGAACAGAGACGTGGTCCTGGTCCCATGGTGCGACGACTCCACCTTGACTGGCCACATTTTGGTAGACAGCTACTAGACATGTACTGCAATATGTAGAGCGGCTTTACGCCGGCGTGGCACAAAGCCTGTCTTAGACTCTCTTGCTGTGGAGGGCGAGAAGCCACACAGCGACTACGGGCAAAGCAGCTAGGCCAGGGCACATTGCAGGAGACTACCGTCCAGGATCGCCGCTGGGATGTCTCTCACAAGCCGTGACAACCCCGATTCTGGTCTGATACTCTTTTGCTCGCCCAATCTCCCATCTGCCGTTTGCCCGTGCTTTTGCCCGTTCTCTTGTTGCTTGAGTGTCGAATTCATGATAGCAATACCGTAACTTTGTGGTAGTAGTAGCGTGGAGCGCTGTACTTTTCTTCGTGCTCATCGGCTGCAGCCATATTACTCTGCCTAATCGATATCCCCGTTTCCCGACGTGCATGCTCGACCTCCTGCGCCATGCATCGACACGCCCTGTCCGAGACGACTGGCATGGCGGGAATGGCCTCGTCGCGCTCGTCGCGGAGCCACAGCTTCAGCAGCGACAAGACGCCCTCGCTGGCCAGCTCCGTCACCTTCCAGATGCCCACGACGGTGCGGCCTGCACCGGCCTACATTGCGGCATCCGTCGCCTCGCAGACGGTTACCGACCACCACAATGCCCAGCTGCGCGACCAGGACGCCGACACAGACGAGCTGCAGAACGCCATCTTCTCGGAACAGGCATTGGCCCTCCTCAACGCCTTCCTCGACCACCTGCTCTTCGCTTTCCTCTCTAGTGCGCGCTCGCCCGCCCTGACGGCCATCCGCCCCGCCGTATCCGACGTACTCAAGCCGCGACTGGCCCGCGATGCCATTGAGGCGGCCGACGAGGAGCTGCAGGGGCTGCTGGCCGGCGAGGACGACGACGAGCTCTCCACCGCGCATCTTAGGGCTGCCGAGCGGTGGGACGTGGAGAAGGTGTGGAAGCGCACCCGCCTGCGCATCATGGTCTACACCCGCCTGGGCGAGCTCGAGGACGAGGACGAGGAGCGCTATGTCCAGCAGGAGCGCGGCCTCAGCATGGACGACGACGAGGACGACGAGGCTGGACTGGTCGCCTGGGCCTCTGCCATCTTCCTCACCTCAGTCATCGAGTACGTGGCCGAGCAACTACTACTGGTCGCTGGCTCGGCGGCCTTTTCGCGCATGGCCGCGCGGATGAAGAAGCTGGCCCAGCAGAACGATGACCAATCGCAGCAGCTCATCGAGCGTCTGATCATCGAAGAGCCCGACGTGGAGAAGATTGCCCTCAACTCGGCCCTGGGCAGGCTCTGGCGGACGTGGAGGAAACGCGTGCGGTCCCCCATCACGCCCATGTCCCCGCGAGGTGTCCAGCAGGCCCCAAGCTACTCGAGCCTGCACCACCGCAAAGCCAGTCGCGAGACCATCAACACCCTACACAGCGAGCATGAGCCCCTGCCCGAACACCCCCCTACCGAAACCGACATCGCCGCCAACATACCCCTCCCCATCGGCGACAACGATGTCAACGAGATCGAGGTGCCTGGCCTGGCGCCCACATATGAAGACGAGGCGGAGGGATCAGGCATGCAGACGCCTGTCCAGCGTCCTCAGCGGCCGTCCAGTGTCCTTCTGCTGTCTTCACTGGTGGAGTCCTCCATCAAGAGCAACAGGCCCCGTCCCTTGTCAATGCCCCTGCGTCAGGCACCACAGTTCACCATGCCCCCACAAGCTGAGGAAGAGGATACCCCCCTACAAGCAACAGAGGAGACTGCAGAAGATACTGAGGATCAGCAGGACGAGTCGTCCGAGGAAGATGCCTCCATGGTGGCATTCGCAGCGGCCACTGGCATGGGCTTTCGAAGAAGCGCAGTGGGACCGTCGCAGGAGCCAGAGCATCAAGCTGAGAAGGTCGAGGAGACTGAGAAGGCTGAGCAGGCATACGAGACGCACGAGGCGGCCCCCGAAAGCCCGCCCCAGGTCATGCGGTCCAAGAGAATGTCAATCGAACGACCCGGCCCGCCAGGACTGGTCCGCACATTCTCAACCCGCAGCTCGAGCCTCAAATCACCCGTTGGAACACCCTTGGCAACACCAAAAGCCCCCGTCCACTCCGAAGGGCGATCTTATCTCGACGACGAGCCATCAGACGACGAGCCGGAGCAGCATCGTGCCATCGGCGTCGCGCGAACATCGGACAGCGTTATACGGTCAGCCTCAAACTCCCCATCAGATTCGCCCCATGAGCGGAGGAGGCCGGGCAGTGGAGGCTACGTTGAAGTGCCACCGCGAGACTTCACGCCGACGTCGCTCACGTACAGCAACACGCCCTCGCCTGATAGCAAGCCCAACGTGCCAGACCGTTCAGTGGCACGCAAAGAAGTGAACAGAAGGTCTTTCACTGGCGCCGAATTGGTCCCAGGCCCCGCCGCATACGAAGGTCCCACCAGCGCACCGAGGAGACAGGATCTAGCCCGCTCAGCCTCGCGCGGTTCGTCACTACCAGCGTTGCAGGAAGTTGAGAGCAACACACCACAGCACAAAAGGAAGACGCCGTCGATTCACACGAGCCGTAGCGTGCGCACCTCGGACAGTCCCAGGCGAAGTCCTACCTCTGCGACTGACACATCCGAGCGACGAGCGACGAACCGCCTATCTACAGACGACTCGGCTCGTTCTCCGCATGTGGCCGATAAATCCTCTTCGGACAACTCTTCGCTGAAGCGCGGTACATCGACCTCATCCTCTCTTCGGAAGCAGGGCGCTTATCCCGTGGTATCAAGCGGACGAGAGTCCATTGGAAGCCACCGCTCCCGTGGACTGAGTGGTCGCATGTCTGAAGAAGACCGCGCCCGCGAATTCGACTCGTTGGTCAAAGGACAGGATACGGTAAAGTTTACATTAACCCCCGAAAGCGTGCGAACTGCTGATGTAAGTCGTGCTTGCTTCCCTGGATCACATGTGCTAATGATCTGTAGAAGGAATCCCCCGTTGTCAAGAAGGCGGAACTACGAAGGCCCTCCGCATCTTCCGTAACTGTGTATCCCCGCGTCAATGCCGAAGACAAGTCGTTTGGAACTGCGAATCTGCCCAATACCACAGCACCGAGAGCCAAAGGACCTACCGCCGCCAATCACAAGCCTTCACCCAGTCGGAAGGTGGTTACCAGGCCGCTCGCAAGAGATCCGAAGATCGAGTCTGAGTCCATGCGTGACTTTGCTGACTTTATTCGGTCGACTGGTCCTTCTCCCGGACAAGAGAAGCCCGTGCAGCCCTTTGTCAACATCAGCGGGAATGGCCAAAAGTCAGGCAACCAGTCGACCTCGTCTCTCGGACGTAAGATGTCCATGTCAAAGCAATCCAGCAGCGCCAACGGATCAGCCACGCGAGCACGCCCAAACATGGAGCCGCGCAGTCCCGCAGGTCTAAGCACCGGCAACGGCGACCTCATCGACTTCATCCGCCAAGGACCACCCGACGCAAACCACGGTCAACCCAGAATCCCGCGAAACGTAGCGCCCTTCCGTACAACCGTTGATTCCGACCAATTCGAGACAATGCTCGGTGGACATGGCAACGTCGAATCAGCATACGGCTCCGCTTCCTCAACCCTAGAATCAAAGGACAGCACGCAAACCATCAACTCCCGCACCGGCCTAATCCCTTCCCCCAGCGTCGTCCAGCCTGCCTACTCTAATCAACCCCAACAACTCACCGGCAGCATGTCCGGCCCAGACGAACCGCACATCACGCGTACGCGTCGCCGCGTTAAGGACCCATATGCCATTGACCTCTCCGACGAAGACGAGGACGACGAAGATGAGGATGAGGATCAATTGACGGCTCTTCCGACGCCGACGAATCAACACCCGCCCCAGGTGCAGGTGCAAAGACACCAAGCACCGGAAACTAAGCGACCGCAACCCCCGCGTCAAGAGAGTCTGATGGATTTCCTAAACGGGATGGAGCCTCCGAGTACTAGTAAACCCCAGCCTTTTATGCTGAGTGAAGAGACGATTGCTGCTGCGAGGGCCAGGGCGGCTGCGAGTTCGAATACGAGTTTGGGGTCTGCTGCGTCTACGAAGGGGAATGGGAATAACTACGGGAACGGTAACGGTAACGGCAACGGCAGTGCTCCAGCGTTCGGTTCCATATCCTCCTCAAATTCTGGCATGAACAACAAATCCAGATTACAAGCTCGCGCCCCTGCTGTCGCCGACAATGTACGCGCTGGTGGTGGTGGTGGTGGTGGAGGTTCTGGTGGTGGTGGATCGAGAACGGCAACGAGTGACCTCGCCGACTTTTTGAAAAATA